TGGCTGATAGAAAATTTATGCAGGACAAATGGCGAAATCTTTTGAAAGCAAGTGGCATTCAGGAACAAGGAACTAGACAGGTTAGTCATCTATAATCATTTCCATTTCTATATGGAATAGTGTTTATTAGAGCAAATATTAGAGACACCCCCTTAGGTTTCTGACAAATCAGAGACACTCCTCACATTAAGAAAAATTACAATCTCCCCATTATTTTGAGAACCATATTCATCCCTTGTCCATTTTTTGAGTCATGTGTCATCTAAAATGACATTCAGGTACCTAAAATTCCTTTATGACAAAAGATGAAATTTCTACAATTAATTGCAATTGAATTTATTTAGTTTAATAAGTGTGTTTGGGTTTCATTATAATCTGTGGGTGTCTTGGGTACGCCGGGTACCCGAGATGTGTGGATAATAAGTGGTGGTATTTGTGAATGTGTGATTGAAATTAAATTGACTATGATTAAAAATTATAGGTAACTAATAATATTTTCCAAACATAGACAATAATAAGCTAATACTTAAAAGACTTTGTACTTGCACAATTATTTGGATGATTGCACAACTTGCTACGTAAAATTTCAACTTAAAATTTGTTGAATGATTTGGTAATAAATGATTTGAAGTTCTTTAATTGATAAAATATTATTTATACAAATTTAAATATTAACAAACACAAGTTATCAATAAAATTTTATATTTATAAATTCATAAATTAACAGAAGATGTTAAATATGAACACTTGTTTTTCACAGTTCATTTTAAATTTAGCTAAGATATTGTATGCTTGAGTTTATTAAAATATTATACACCCTTAAAAATTGTTACTATATGATTGATCATGTTGTACAATAGAATGTTAAAGTTATCAATATACTAACAGTATATATGATGGGGGTGTTTGATACACATTATTGAGAAAAAAATGCATGAGTATTGAAAGAATGAATTTTGGAAAGAATGTGGATCAAACAAGGGCGATAATTGTATTTATAAATAACTCGTGTTAAAAGAAAATACTATGTATATAATTTAACCGAAAATGTATTTTAAAAAAAAAATAATACCACTTACAAACAAAATAAGTAAAATTGTATGATATAATTTTTAAACTGTCAAGCAAGCTTTGTGTAAAAAAATTTCATCTTTTATTCGTGAGGGTATTTTAGATATCACGGCCTTTTTTTAGGTTACATGTGACTAAAGAGTGATGAGGGTGAATATGATACTCAGAACTAGAAACAGGGGATGTTATTGTAATTTTTCAAACATGAGAGGGTGTTTCTGTATTTGTGAGAAACCTCAAGGGTCTAATTTTTTGTATTTATATCATAGTCATAATCTTATCTTGTACTCTTTAATATTGGAAAAGTGCTTGCATGCCAAAGTTGTGACCTTTGACATGTCCACATTCAGGGGGAGAAGAAACGGAATCTGGCTTGGCGCCCTTTGCCAAAGCCTATACTACGCCGTGTTTGTGAACTGGCCACCATTTATCCCTATCCAAATGGTCGTAAACCCAAGATTATTCACCATGTACCCCCTGACAGAAGTACAGATATAACATTGAGCGACTATAAAAGAATTCTCCGAAGCATAAATGGCAACTGATACTTTTGTTAGAACGACGTGCAATCTTAGCACATATTTGTGGTGTTCTATATTTTCCCCTGGTATTTTGCATCTATCCTTTGTAAAAACAGTGCACAGGAGTGTGGGTCATTAAAATTTTTTGCACTGATTGTCACTGGACATATGAATATGCATTTAATCTTTCGATATTCTTCTGTTCTTTGAACACGCTTTGATACCTTTCACTTTGTCCCAATGCTTGGCAAATCTTGATCATCAGTCTAATTTTTTCGAAACCAAGTTTATTTTTATTCTTATTTTTAATTGNCAGAGTCTTATTTATTATTTTCAAAATGCTTTTTTCTCTTTTTTATTTTTAATAATACATTCTTTAATAAAATAATAATACGCGTAAATTTGAACTTTTTCTTATTTTTTAATTACGCATTCTCAAATAAAATGCTATTTGAAAATGCATTTTGAACAAAAAAATGGGACTCAAATACGCGCTTAATAAGAAAGTAGGTATATATTGAGATTCCTATGGTGATTCTAATTTAATTTTAAAATTTATGTCAAAGTCGATAATCACGTGGGAGGTTAATTTCTCTAGTCCAATCAAGTCATTGTCATGACATTAGCCCCCTGTTGGGCATCGTTGAAATTTTTGGGAAAAAATGAATTTTGGAATAGTGATTTTTTGGAAAATGAGTGATTAAAAAATAAAAAAAATGTTGTGACTTTACATGTAATATTATTTCACTGTATACTTTTTTTTTCCATAGTTTGGGAGTATGTTAGATAAACAATGCTAGTGGTACATCACACCCTACATAAGGGTGTCCATAATGGACATTCGGCGCCTCTCCATTGGGTGAAGTGCCACATGCTTGTCACGAGTAAAAGAATTGTCTTCAAAGGCTCGACATCGCGCAAAAGTTCACACGAGACGAAAGTTTAATTGATAATTTGGAATTGAGCTGGATGGTATGAACTACCTCAAACAACAGAAAATTTGATAGATTTTTTGCCTAAAAGAAATTAAAAAGAGTGCAATCGAGTTATGGAAATAAATTGTGTCATATCATATCCTTGCAACTTTAAGCCCTTGTTTGGCCCCCATTAAATTAAATTACATTACGGGAGTGTTTGACACCCATTTTTGTGAAAAAATGTATTTTTGAATAGTGATTAATAGAAGAATGTGTGATTAAAAAGTAAGGAGAATTTTTAGGTTTATGTGTAATATTATTTTATTGATAGAATGTATGGTTGAAATGAAAAAAGAGAAAAAAAATGAGAATGAGAAAAAAAATGGGTGCCAAAAGAGGGCTACATTAAATTTCTCTCTCTTCATTACAACCACACATTCATCAAATAAAATAATATTACAAACAAATCTAAAACTTTTCATTACTTTTCCACCACACATTCTCCAATCAATCACTATTTCAAAAATTTTCAACCCTTAAAAAATGTCAAATAATGGGAGCCAAACAGGGGCTAAATTTGTAGATTGTGTTGGCATTTGGCAATGAAACAAGAAAATTATTCATTTCAAAGAGGACTCCCTGTCCTTCATGGCGTTGAAGTGTCACCAACTGGCAACTTGCCTGGCCCTACTCTCACGTGCTATACATTCCGTAGTACTGTACAAATCCTCTTACTCTATCCCTCTGATTGTGGATTAAGCCCTACAATCATATTTTTTTTTCTCAAAAAAAGTAGAATTTTGAGTAGTGATTTTTAGGAGAATGTGTGGTTAAAAAATAGGGAAAAATTTTAAACTTACGTGTTGAATATTTTATTGTCTGAACGTGTGATTGAAAATATATACGTAGAAAAAAGAGTGAAAAATATGATTATCAAACAATGGCTTAGGTAAGGTACTTAGTTTTTAAACAAATAAGGCCAACCAGCCAGCCAGGATTCCTTAACAAATATCCATGTCTACCTGCCTGTAGGTGCCCAACCATTCAAATTTACCAACAAACCCACCAAAATTGCAGTCATCCGTCAACCCCTTTCCATTATGTTCTTCAATCTACTTGAGCATAACCAAGTACAAAGAAGAAATGAGCTCATCAAAGTTAAACGTATAATCGTCTACTCTCGAGAGCAATAATAGCATGTAATAGAAAATCGATAATAGAAATAAGAGAATTATGATGCGTTCATGGCTTCACGAATTTAACGCTCCATCTAGATAGAGATATCGAGATAGAAAGAGAATCATATATATGTATACTTTATAATATCTACATGTTATGTGTTAAGATTTATGAGTGGGGTGTGCACTTTGCCCAAGAAGCTTATCTCTCCCATCCCTCTTTCGTATCTTATCTGCTTAATTCCCCATTCGTGGGGTCGGTCGAATTTTGACTTCAGAAGATCGCAATATTATCTCTCTGTGTGTTCGTACATTTTCGTATACTAAAATGTTCTCAACAACATGCAGTAATTTGAGTGCACTTTTTAATGTCAAACTCTCACTTAACTTCACTCTAATTGTGTCACCTATGTCGAAAATAAAATTTGAATAAATTTTATTTATTTTCTCTTACTCATTTTCTCCTTGTGAAAAATCTGCAGCTGTAAGTGAACGTAATTTTCAAATTGAGATTACTTTGCGGGCTTCTTGTTTCTTTAATGTTGCTCTCGTAGTTAAGGATTCAAGTCATTAATCTATAGCAATCTGCACGTGAGGGAGTCTAGCTGGTACAAACCGTATATCCAAAATATATTGGCTCTTTCTCCTCTTATATAAACCATTCTTGACATGCAAAACCACCCCCAACTCCCAAAACCCTTTCCTCCATAACTTCCATATACATACACACATGTAAGCACAAAAGATGAAGATTTTGGAAGGGAAATGTTTCAAAATATTCATCAAAAAGTGGCGAAAAATGGGTTTCAGATTCCTGGATTCTGCAGCCGGTAACAAGTGTTTCCAGTGGTGTTTATGGCCTTCATTTCATGAAGAGAAAATAATTCCAATACTACAGGGTTTCCCAGTAAATCAAGTATATGTAGGAGAAGGTCACAAGAGGTATGTAATCAAAATGACCTTACTTGATCATCCACTCTTCAAGGCATTGCTAGATCAAGCCCAAGAATTGTATGATTTCATCACTGATTCAAAACTCAGGATTCCGTGTGACGAGAATATCTTCCTCAGCATCGTCCAGTGTTCCACACACCCACCACATTGACCCATACCACAGTGCCTATGACCCTTCATCCACTATTCGACATATTTGATATGCAGTTTTGAACAAGACTGGATAGCATGTACAAGATTTTAACATTTACTGTCGAGTGTACGGTTTTGTACGACTCACCTTACCTATGACTAAGAAAATAAGTAACTATATAGTTGACTTGTTGTGCACACTGTCATGTTGTAATATGACTTCATTATTCAGCTGCAATGGAAAGCTGTTTGTGTCATTCTGCACATCCATCAAACATTACAAACTTAATCGAAGTTTGGACGGTTTGCCTGAGAGAAGTAATCGAGAGGTGTATGTGTTTGAACGTATATCGGATTTGCTTGCTTAGGCCAACAATAACGTCCTCCAGGTATCTTAACTTATTGAACTTAGCCACAAATTGCAGTATTTCTTCAAGGCCTGAACAAGGAACCTATCTAAAGCCATCTCAATGGCCAGAAATAACCTTGATGTGCTCTTATCACCATTTTCATGTGGTGGCCTCAAACTCACATTTTATTTTGACTTTTTGAAATGGAAATAGGTCTCATTTTAGTTTTTAGGTGTACTTAATTTGTCATGGAGTAATGTTATTTAGCAACACATATATTTAACACCAGTTTAAGTGGCAACATTAATGATATTAATTTACAGATTCGATTAAATGAATCACATGATTTCAAATTTAATTGAATATATCACAAAATATCACATACACCGATGTTCTCTGTCACATGTATTGTTACTAAAGCTAATTAAAATTTGACTCATATATCTAACAAGTGTCAATTCATCATGTTATAAATATCGGAGCCCGATGTTGCAAAAGTTCGCGAGTCTTATGTGTGACAAAAATTGGATAAAAGTTATGAATCCAATGAAATATATGACTATAAATGAACCTTGACCAACTTTTTAACAAACAAAAGCTTTACCCAAAAAAAAAAAAAAGGCTTCACCAAAACAAGCACATAGCTTCTTCCTAGGAGACTATTGTAACTAAAGATAACTTGTCTTTAGTATGTGTTCCGCAATATTATAAGGGAAGCTTACATATTCAAGAGAATAAGTTTAGACTATTTCAAAAATAAGAAAACACCTTTTAAATTTCAAAAATCAGATATTTGACATATATATATTAGTTAACCCACCCCACCTCCACTACCCCTACCGTTCCGANCGCTATATTTTTTTGTATGTTTGACATTTTTTTTACGATCACAGCCCATGTCACAAGTCACAACTCAGGTCATAAGTCAAGAGTCACAGCACAGGTCACAAGTCACAAATCAAGTCACAAGCCGGTCACAAGTCACAACGCATGATTATTTGTTTAATTACATATTTTCAAATTTATTAGTCACATGTTAATTTTTAATCACAAATTGTCTAATTTTTAAGATCACAGTTAATCTAAATAGTTGGTCATATACATCACAACCATTGTCACAACACAACACTCTATCTCTACTGCCACCAGTCACTGCCTCCATCACCACTAAAACACAACCATTTACAAACTGAAAAACTAGAAAATCATGAAAAACCACGACAAAAAAACCAATGAACACCTTTGTATCCTACACAGCTACACCCACAATCGCCTATTTCAACAACCACCGACCACCTCCACCTTCGTCTACAAATGCAATCACCCACTACATTACCACCACCATCCCCCGCCCCGCCCCAATAAAAATCCCCCAAATTTGCAATAATCACCAGACGGCGATCTGAGAGAAAAATGAAAATCGAGAAGAGAGGAGCTCCGGCTGCTGCAACGACGAGCCTATCGCGACGTTGGTTTCACCGATCGCGGCGTAGGATTCACCGATGCTGCGACACCGGCAGCAACGCCATCGCCGACATCAGAAGGGGAGGAGAGGAAGGAGGGAAGGGGTAGAGAAAGAAAGCAAATGAAATTTTTTTTGAGAATGAATTAGGACAGTAAAAATATTTGTTTTATAAAAATATTAATTAAAATAAAAAATTTGATTTTGGAAATATTAAACTTCCAATCTGATTTTGGAAAGTTTAATACTTAAAGTATGGTTTTGTATAATTACCACATATTAGAAAGTGAATACTGTTGAGCCGACTCAAATTTGTGAACTAAAAGAATTCTTGTTTGGTAAAAAATATGACCAATCGACTCGAGAACCTAGCGCCTCCTAGTCAAGCTGCAGTTATCGTACAATTACACTATACAACACAAGAACTAGCCGTGGGAGACAAACCAGTCTTAAAACGCTAAACATTACAATTTACGTGCTTGTTTGGGTTGTGCTCACAGGTCTCACAGAATGCATAGATAAAATGTAGACAATAGACATTGGGTAAAGAAAAATCAATTTTGTGAAAGAGCACATTTGAACTCGACTAGGGGAGGGGGTTACAGTCCAACATCAGTAATAAACCCAAGGCCAAGGGCTGAAAATGGAAATACTAATGATCTTTATAATGTCAATAATAACGTACTTCCAATAAATATGTGAATCTTCGATGACATTAAATAAAATTCCTTGAAAGCAAGAATGCAGGAACTAGTGCAAAATACAAATACAAACCATTACCGATGATTTTCTCAACCATAAAAAATATACTTTTGATTAGTTTCTCGATGATCAAAATTCAACCAGGGATTAAGAATAATAGGACATTCATACTTCATTTAAAATCAGGCTTCTCTGGATACGTGCATCCTGACCTCTGGATAATGACATTTGCGGCATAACAACCTGCTTTTACACAATCTTCAATAGGTTTCTCTAGAACCAATTGAGACAGAAATCCTCCAACAAAAGCATCCCCTGCAACAAATGAAATGCAAAGTTTTCAAATCATATGTATGCTTCAATCTGGTAGTGGTATAAGATTGTGAGAACAGTGTGATGGTAGTAGATAAGTTGAAAGAAGTTAGATTTGAGTCATTCGCTTTAAGAGTAATAATTGAGGAGGATGACAATAATGATACACGGCCTAGATTTGAGTCATTATTTGGGGTCAATTTGCTGAGAATAGTTAGGGAGGAGTTAAATTATGCTATACAGCCTTCCAACAAACTACAAGTTTCCATTAACTTCAAATTTGTTTGTGCGCCCTAAGTTGGTACTCGAGCTTTTTGACATTATGAAATGTAAAGTAACGCACCTGCGCCATTGGTATCAACGAGCTTTTCTTTTGGCAACGGAATTACGGGGAACAACTTCACCTTTCCATCCTCTGCGACAACAACTGGATCTCCACCCTGAGTGATGACAGTAATTCTTTTGCGCGCTTCATTGGCCTTTGGCAATTGGGAAATTTTCAAAGCTATTTCTTCAACATTTTCAGTCTGTTCATAAGAAAACTACAGTTAATTATATTGCTAAAAAAGTTGTCAGCAAATCTCGTATAAAGAAGCCATTACCTCCCAGCCATGAACTCTGGAGAAAGTTCTTGCCTCTGTTTCATTTCCAAAGACGATGTCAGTATACCTGAACCAAGTAGTAGGAATCATTCAATCAATTTCTTGATGGCCCATTCAAATAGTTAATCAATAGAATAAGACGTTGGCCTTACGGAAATACTTTGTCTTGGACATCCTTGAAGAACTCACAGATAAATGGAGCAGAAAGGTTAGTAGTGAAAATCTGCACATGCATGAAATATTTTAGAGGTAGAAACAGTTTCATCAGAAAAAAGCTGTTCAGGAACAAATTGCACAATAAAATTTTGGTTCAAGAAACATACCTTATTTTTAGCAGCTGCATGCTCAGCAACAAGCATTATAGATTCTGGGGAAACTGTTAGAAAAAATCCGGCGATGTAGATGTACTTGGCCTTTTCAACTGTCAAAATGTGGGGGGAATAGCTTCATAGAATGCATATACAAAACAAACAGTAACCAAAATCAAGCTAACTACCTAAAGCCCAATTTTCTGGTCTCTTCAAATGATCAGATTTGTAGCAATTTGCAGCTGACAAATTGGCAATAAGTGATCTGCAACATATTAACCCACAATATCGTTACTCCAGTAAAAAAATGGACACAAAAAAGACCATTTATACGTTATTTGCTTGGGTTCATAACAGAGTACAAGGGAGCCAAACAAAAAAACTTTCTAAAAGATTTTTCTCCAAAAAGATCTAGTAGCTTCACTGACAGCAGCAAAACAAAAAAACTAAACTTCACATGGCTTAAATAAGAAGTTACATAATGTAAACATGTGCCATATACAAATGCTGAAACTCAATTGCCCGTGAGTCATTTTTACTAGAAAACAGCTGATGCACAAAATATGAATTATGAAAGTTAATTATGCAGGTAATCAGGCACTCATTTTATGTCTGATATTTCTAATAGGTTTTTTTAGCGCAACTTCTAGAATGAAATTCCATATTAGAGATGTACTTTGCATCATGGTCTACCCAACATAATTTCAAATAATGCTATACTTTTGGTGTGCAAATATTACCAGAGTTCTATTTTTCTTATTTATTTTTTGGCAGGCAATATTACCAGAGTTCTATACCTGCTCCCTCTACATAAGAAGTGAAAGTCAGATGCCACCATTAATGGGGCTTTCGAAAGATGGACTTTTGTCAAAGTTCTTCCGTATTAGCTCACCACACACCTGTTTCTTCAGCAAATGCACTTCCAGCAAGAAGTTCATTTTCTTTGGATTGCCAAATGCACATTAAGTCCATGTTTGGTTTTGTGAAAAATAGATTTCTAGTAGATTTTGTTTAAATTGATGAAATGAGTGGTTGAAAGTTGATAAAAAGCATGGGTCCCATGAGATTCGTGGTTAAAATTACTTGTCGATTTATTGTAGCAGTTTAATTGCGGAATGCGGCACTCTACATTAGGACTGGGCTTGAAAACCACAACCGACAAAACCGACCCGAAACGGGTTGGGTTGGGTCCCTTTAGGGATAAACTTAGGTTGGGTCGGGTAAAATAAATTTAAAATAATTGTGAGTCGGGTCGATTCATTGTTTAAAGCCTCACAAACCGACCCAATCCAGTGAAACCCCATTATTCAGTTTGATATCAAGCGCCGTGCCAGCAAACTCTTTTGTTGGAGACTTGGAGGCCACGATCTGATTCATCTGAAAGACACCCATAGATACAGGCTCGTTCATCTCCTTTCATCTGTATGTGTTTCATCTTTTGTTTTATAATTTATTAGAATGCATCTCGATTTTTTTTTCGGCTTCTTCTGTTCGGAATCTGTGAAAATCTTTGCAATTCGAAGTTGGAGGGCATTATTTTGTGTTTGATGATTCAAGAAGCGTTTTAAGGATATCATAATTTTGTGAGAATATAGCAGTAAACTGTTCTTTAGAACCTGCAAAGGCCAGACATTCAAAAA